GGACAACCTTCAGGCTCTCTCATCTGAAAGAAAACCTTACAAATTAACTGAACTAATTTAACATATATGGCACCCTTCTTCGGCTCCATCCTTTCAGAAGTCAATACGAAAGTTTTTAAAATCCCCTCTATTGAAAGGTAAGGCCTAAATAACTTAAAATTGTATGAGAGTTGATAAGTCACGATCCATGACCTACTAAGAAATGGGAGAAGAACCAACAAAATTTAAACATGCGACAAGCATACCTTGTAGCTAACACCAGAAATACACTTCTTTTAAGGTGGAAACACACTACGGTCAACCCAACTTGAAAAAAAACCCAGAGCATATAAGATGGTCGGAGCAATGGCAAACAAAAACACAATCGAAAAAACCATCAAACGCAATACAATTCATATACCAGCCAAAAAAAGAAAATGAGTTCCAACGATTTCAAAGATGCGTGCAGTTGAATCGTAGATACCTGAGAAGACCCCGAAAAGCTAGAACCAAAGAGTACGGGATGGAAACATATTAAATAAGCTAAAATCTTGTAATAAATTAGGCTCTAGATTTTGTGAAACAACAAAATAGCAAAAGTTGGGACAACAGGGGCATTCACCACGTGGGCATTCGTAAAACAGGGACTTGTTGATATATTTCATATATGGAAAAACATATAATAGACCAAACATATGTATGAAATTCGTTCAACTATGCCAGATAATGCATAATGTTATGTTCTTTATATATATACCTTGAAATTTGACTAGTTATTCTAGCCTCTATACTGCTATATTCCAAACTTGAAAACAAATATTGTGCATTGGTAGACATATTCATATATACATATATTATATTAATATATCTTTAGTTCTGGGCTATTGTTTTACATTATTTTCTCATATACTAATAAAATTCTTATTATGTAGATGATTGATTAGCAGTCTTGAGTTTTCGTATTTAAGATTTTTTTTTTATCTTTTGAGGGTAAACAACTCACTTTGGAAGTTCAAATCCAAAATATTGTTTCAATAAATATTAACTATGCATTCTTTATTATATATATATATATATAAATATATATACATATAAACTTTGTATTGTATACATATATATATGTATGTACACTTGCTCACTCATTCGTTAAGGGTGTGTTTCTTTAGGGGGGTTTGGGAAAATTTAGGTTTGGGTTTAGATTTGGTTTTTATTTGAATTTTGAGGTGAGTTTGAATTTATGTGTTTATTTTGTGTTTAGGTTTGGGTTGGGTTTGGAGAGTTTTGATGTGTATTGATTTTATGGTAATGAATATAATAATATAATTTTTTATTAATTTGTATAATTTGATTATAAATTTATATTATACCTACGTACATATTTCTAAATTTTTATTTAATTGTATTATAAAAAATTTTATTCTAACTAAATAACATATATTCCCTCCGTCCACATAATAAGTATACATTTACTTTTGGGGCGGAGTTTAAAAATTAATAGTATTTTAATTATAGTGGGTAGGTAAAAGTAATGTAATTATATTTTTGCCCTTATTTTTTTATATAAAAGTAATGATGTGATGTAAAGTAAGGGTATTTGTGAAAAAAAAAAATGGGGTATTTAATGAAATGGTTATTTTGCAATTGGACGTCCCAATATAGAAATATGTATACTTTGTAGCTGGACAGAGGAAGTATATTGTATATATTTTATTAAATTATAATTATTGTAATTTTTTATATTTATAATTTAAAAAAAAACTAAAAAAAAAAAGAAAACATTGTCAGACATGTCCCCCCGAACCCCAATAGCCGAGTTTTGGGCTCGATTACTATGCAAACAGTAATCCAGCCCAAAACCGGGCTGGAGAAACACACCCTAACTCATTCAATCAATTAAAGTATTCAAATATACTTAGGCCTTATATATATATATATATATATATATAGCAACAATGCAATGCCTCTTCCTCGTCTCCTTTCTCTTTCTTATTCTTATAATCAAACAATCACAACTCCACTTCCGTTCGAATCCCACTTGTATAACAATCTGACTACCTTGTTCCATCCAGGCACAAGCTTTGTATATAAAACAAACACAATAGCGTCTACCCTCAGGTTCCATCCCAACCAACTTGTTTAATATAGGAAAAGAGCAATGGATATCATAAACCAAAAGCTACATAAGCCATGCATTTAAGATACCAAAAACAAAAATATGAGAGAATAGTAATGGCTCACATTGTTTCATTACTATCTATGATCTTAATTGCTACTTGATCAGGGTCACAACGTTTAAGTATGGAATTCTTGGCACATACAACTGTGGAGAGAAAATACATTTCTCATGAACCGAATGTGAGCAAATTTGGAGAGAAGTTTGCAATATCCAGAGCCACACCTTCCGAGACAACCATAGTTCCAATTTCAACAGAGACGTAGATTAAGCGTCAAATGCCAAGCGAAACCTGCACAAGCTTTGAGCAAAAAATTGTGACCACCATTACAATATTTTGGAAGATCATTCGACTAGATCTAAGCTTATACCTCACTTATTCCTTCAAAGAAACCCCAATTAGAGATTCTAAGTTTCCAAAACCATCTAGCACAGAAACTAATAAAAAATGATATCATCCAAGGAGATCCAGAACCAAGTTGGTAACGGATAAACATGTCTGTCATCATCCTCGGGAAATGAAAAGAGAAAAAAAAAAACAAATAGGATCATTACAGATAAACCCTGTAACGACAAACCACGAAAATCGAAATAACTATTGTTCGTATATATGTTGTACATAGCCCATTAAGGGTCGTATATACTTCTCTATATGTGCATATTGTAACTCTATTATCTAATAGATAATTCTAATTTCACAAACACTCGCGATAAGGGGTATACGAAAGCAGCCATCCTCGTGGTGAAACCGGACTGGATTGGACTTATAACAAGAATTGGCGGTTGATGAGGACAACGGTGACAACGCTCGATTATACATAACTAGAAAAGAAAGGCGAATGCTAGTACGACTGTACGGTTTCTTGGAATGAACCATATAGAGTTTCGTTGCCATATTGAAATTAAGAGGGGTAAAAGAAAAAAATTATAGAGCGGTTAAGCGATGATATTTTGAAAAGGTAAGGGTAAAACGGATATTATAGATAAATACAAGAGCGAGAGATCAACAATTCAAACTGCCATCGATACATCTTCATATATGTTATTTATAATATTGTATTTAAATAATATTATATAAATTTAAATATAAATATTAATTTGATATATTTTTAAAATAAATAAATATTTTAAAATATAATGAATGAATTACCTGTGTCCGACACTAATTGGAACATAATAAGGGAATAGGTCAAAATTTTGTAGATCAAATAGTGAGACATTCCTCACTTGAGGGCTCGATTCTGAGTTCGATTCCAGGTGGGTGCATGTATGCTTGAGTTAGGTGAAATTCTCATCGAGTGTGTGAATGTATGGGTAGAAAAATAATAAATAAATAAAAATAAAAATTGTTGGAACAAGCAAAAAATCAAAACTTTTTTTTTGCTATTAATCTGTCAGGTTATCGCAGTAGTTGTGTTATACAATTTTGACAAATATTTTACAAATAGAAACTGTGGCCGAATTGCCACCTTTGTGCAGGTTAAACTTGCTAGATAATTAATACTTTGGACAAATTGACCTGTCCCATATAAAGGACATGCAGGAGTTGACACTTGCATGTTGCACTCTTCCTGGAGGGCATTTAATGCCTCGTCCTTGCTGCCCCAAAGACAGCACACAGTCAGATTTGTCATCTTGTATGCAGTATTTGTATTTTGTATGGATGCATGTTTGTTTTTATGTGTAAGCAACCAAAACTTAAAGAGTATTATTCTCTCCACTAGATAGAGTGTTGAGAGAACTCATCCATAGATGATTGAAAATAAGAAGAAGAATTTTTTGGAGTTGAAGCCGAAAGAGATAACCATCTGGTATGCAACCTTATTCTTAGCTTGGTCGCTGATTTGCTGGTGTCGTTACGGTACAGTAACAACCAATCCATAGGAATTTGTAAAACTAAATGGAGCTTTGGTAGAAGATAGGTTGGGTAGTTCGGATTGATGTCTTATATAGTGTAAACCAAGTATTTGGTTTAGTTAAGACTCCTGGATTGAAATCCCCCAGATGTAGGTTGGAAAATCGAACTGGGTAAACAAACCTCGTGTGTGTTTTTTTTCTTTGCACTCACTCACCCATCGATTGGTGAACAAACACACACTGTTGTTACAACCACAAGGCAACCACGTATGCAAAGTTGTATCGACCACTCACAGTTTCATATTTTCCGTTGCGCATAAAACTCGGAGGTGTTGAATCTTTTTGGGACCGATCGAATTTCCCACAAAAACAGAGTAGAAGAATAAAGTGTATGAAATGATTTTTTATGAGTTAGCTAAAACAAGGCTTCTACAGTAGAAACTCTAACAAAAACACATCATAAATCAATACATATTTAATAAATATAAATAAATTTAATTAAAAAAATAACATATATTACTTACTCAAAATTTTTTTATTTTCATCTATCTTTAAAAAATTAAATATTTTTATTTATTAATTTTTTATAAAATTAATTTATATTAATTATAAATAAATAAATATATTTTTTTATTTACTTGTATTATATAAATTTTATTTTTTACAAAATAATATTTATATTTATATATTTTTATTATAATATAATTTTTAAAATATTTAAATATATTTTTTAATTATTAATTATATATTAAATTTTTATTTTAAAATTATTATTAATTATATAAAATAGTAATATAACTTATTATTATCACTAATAAAATCAATTGTTTCGAGACAAGAGGGAGTAGTATAAAAAAGGCCGTCTTCAACAGTCTCTTCGTCAACTAATGAACAAGTACATCCACGTCATCCAAATGCAGTTGGAGTATATTCTAGCTACTCCCGGGATCTAAACTCCCAAAACATCCACACCGTCAACTCTATTAGCGTCAGGCATTAACTGAACCGGGTGTTCAGATCCTGCGGTCTCCCTTAGAAATCACTCAGCACTATAGCTACAGACTTTCTGCTTTCTTCAATTTGAAGAACAGCGTAAAGGCGACGATTTCTAATGGAGCATCGAATCAAATTCCATTACAGCCAATTTTCCAAGTTCCGATAGGGTAGGGTTTGTAATGGCGCCGGAGATCGAGCCGTTGCTGCAGAGCCGCGCCGCCGAAGAAGAGAGGCCATTGGAGCGATCAAAAGCTGCTCGCGTCGCCTCGCTCGATGTTTTTCGAGGGCTTAGCGTTTTTGTAAGAACACTGAATTTTTTTTTTAGTTTAATTTTTATTTTCTAATCTTTTACTTGAGTTGATCGACTCGCTTTATAATTTAGGAGATTCATTCGATTTTCCTGATTTGTAAGCCTTGTCTTCGAATTTTAGGCGTGTTTGTTACATAGAATTGAATTGTAAAAACCATTATAATAGAGGATAAAATTGTTGGGAAAGCAGGTTTGTATGTTTAGTTTGGGTTTGATTGTGTGTGTGTTATTTTCTTTTCTAAATATTATTTTAATGTGATATTTTGCATTGATAACATGAAGCTGAATTGTCAATGTAGTTTTAGGTTTAGAATGCAAAATGAACACACCCTGAATCCAATAGAGGATTAGATTTAATTTTCTTTGGTAGAGCCGAGAAATAGAACTTAGAAATGTAGCAATATGGTAATCAATTTGAAGGAGATGATACTTTGTCGCTATAGTGGAGTGGAAAAGGATACGATAAATCGATTAAGAGGAGATGATGAATAAAGTAAGCTACAGAGGCATTCAGCAGAGCAAAAATTAGTCGAAAACTTTGGTTGTTTAGTTGGGGATTTTCTTATTTTGGTTTTAGTTTTTAATTTGAATTTGATGTTTTGTAATAGAAAATAACGCTGTGTATAAAAAATTGTAAAATATGAATAGTAGGGAAAAAAATTTATCATATGAACACTGCAAATTTTCATTTCTTTACATTTTTCTGAAACTAAAATAGAGAATGAAAAATTATTTATTTTTTCAATTTTGATTTACTTAGTCAAACAAATAAAAGAAATAGAGATATTTTTATTTCTCTATCTTCATTTATCTTGAGCAATTGCATCCCTATAGGATTGCCCGAAAATTACATGATCCGACAATGTTTGTTTGCAATATTGATAGATTCTGCTCTGCACTAAAACATGTTTTTGTTTCATCAGCTAATGATGCTTGTTGATTATGCCGGTTCGATTTTCCCGACCATTGCTCATGTTCCTTGGAATGGTCTCCACTTAGCTGAATTTGTGATGCCTTTTTTCCTTTTTGCTGCTGGAATTTCTGTCGCCATTGTATACAAGGTAAAATATAACTGGATTAATACTTGTAAGAAGAATCTTTTGTCTACTTGCCTTAATGTCTGAAAAAGAATATGCAATTGTGATATGAGAGGGTGCTTATGCCTATATTTGCAGAAAGTTCCCAACAAATTTGGAGCTACATTGAAGGTTGTCCTTAGAGCATTGAAATTATTTCTCCTTGGCATTCTTCTTCAGGGTATTTCATGAATGATTCATGATTTCAATGTTTTGATTAACTATGGGTGTGTTTGTTTAGCGTTTATAGTTCTTAGGTGTTTTTGTTGTGAGGTGAAAATCGTCAAAATATTATATGAAATAATATGTGTGTTTTTGCTAACTTTTATTTTTACGTGTATATATTGTATGTTTATATTGTATTGTTTGTATTTCTGATAGTAGATTAAAGAAAAATAATACTTCCACCGTCCGGCTCTAAGGGTCTCATTTACCTTTTGCGTTATTGTACTTAATATTAAAAATATTTTTATATTTGTATAATTTTTTGCACAAATGTCATTATAATAGTATTATAAGACACTGATAAAAGTATTTTTGTCCTTTTCCCTTAATTTGTACGACGTTTTCATATAATAATTAATATTTAAAGATCAACACGCAAAAAGTAAATGGAACCCTTAGAGCCGGACGGAAGTAGTATTATATTGGTGAACATGTTTGTGTACAATGAAAAAGTGAAAAATATATTTGAATTTAGTAGAGTAAATAGTGAAATATATGAAGTTATTTTGGTAAATAGAAATAAGAGGTAGGAGAAATTAGCAATTAAGCGAAAACCACATTGATTATAGATGAAAATAGGCTATTTATTTAAGTTGGACAACCTTAAATAGTAATTGTGACAATATAGATAAAATGGATAGAGTAATATTTTTAGAAAATCTTAGGCATTAAAAATATTAAGTAAACAATTTGCCTTTGATGTTTTACTCCCTTGTAGGTGGATATTTTCATGGGGTTACTTCCTTGACATATGGTGTGGACATTGAGAAGATTCGATGGCTCGGAATCTTGCAGGTTAGGTTTCCTTACACTTGTGGAATCAATGGTTGTGTAGACAACCTCAGCTAATCATTTTTCATGGAAAATGTTTATTATGTAGAGGATTGCGATTGGATATTTTGTGGCTGCATTGTGTGAAATATGGCTTCCAAGAGAAAGCCGGGATGGCTTTCTTCGAACTTATATTTGGCAGTGGTGAGTCCGAACAGTTTTGTTTGAACCGATATTTGTCTATTTATTCGGTCCAGACAACCTTAGGATAACCAAGGTTGTACGAGTTTGGTTACGGTGTCACCACATAAAAAATACACCGACAATACATGTTTTTATTTACGGAGTAATTTTTGTACTGACCGAGTCAAATTAAGATGGTACTAATTTGACTAAGTTAGCATATTTAATCAAAACATACAGTACATGTTTGACAACACATATAATAATAATATACAATACATTTTATTACAGTACATGGTAATAATTTAACATAGCATATAAACTGCACTAACACTTGTTAGTTCATACTTGTAGGTGTGTTGCATGAATATATTATCTGTGTTGGAAATCATTGGTAGACTATGTCATACAATATATTTATATTATAACATAAATCATGTAATGTATGTTATTATATTACGTGTTATCTGTCTATTACATGCAGTGATGTCAGTACAATGATGAATTATAAAATTTAGCGCCGTAACCCCCACAAGGCTGTACATTGCTTTGTTCTTACTTTGTAATCATAGGACAACCTTAAATGTTTTCTATGTCTTAGGTGCGTAGTGGTGTTGCTGTCTGCTGTGTATTTAGGGTTACTGTACGGCTTATATGTTCCCGACTGGCAATTCTCTGATGTCCGGGGAAGTTCCTCTGTGATGACAGCAAATGACAGCCGTAGTTACACTGTAAGAATGTCCCGGATGCTACCTTAACCATAGAGTTATCCGATTGATTCCATATACTGCATGTAATAAATTTTATTTTGTTCAAATATAGGTGAGGTGTTCGGTAAGAGGCGATCTTGGACCTGCTTGTAACTCCGCTGGCATGATAGACCGTCATGTTCTTGGAATCAATCATCTTTATGCAAAACCTGTTTACCGGAATCTAAAGGTTTGCTGACCGAAAATTTACATTTTATGACAATAAGTTGTTTTCCTACAATATTGTATCCGAAACTCAGGAATGCAATATGTCTGGGCAAGGACAAGTTCCACAATCATCGCCCTCGTGGTGTCATGCTCCTTTCGATCCTGAAGGTGTTTTAAGGTAAATCAGTTTGTGATGTTCATCGCATGTTTGTCAATAAAATGTTAATTTGTAACTAATTGGGTGTGGTTACAGTTCAATCCCGGCTGCGGTGACCTGCATCATTGGGCTCCATTACGGCCACATTTTATTACATGTCCCGGTGAGATACTTTTTTAGTGTGTTTGTTTAGCATTTATAGTTTTAAGTGCTTTGTTGTAAAGTATGGAGATATCGTAAAAGTATTATAGAGAATGATATTTTGTGTCCTTGTTGATTTTTATTTGTATATTTTGATTTTTTATTTTATTTTTTTGGTAAATTTTTGGGGAGTCATGTAAGAATGAAATAGTTGTATGATGTTATATAAATAGACGTTGATACCATGTTTTGAATATAAAATTGATTTTTAGTATAATATAAAAAATAAAAAATAGATTTTTAATTTGATGTTTTTGGAGAAAAGTTTTATTATGAATAGTAAAATTTGTGTAAAATCCTATAAAAGAGAACACCCTTGTCAAAAATTTTACTATTTGTTTGGAATTTGAATAGTAAAATTTTGAATTGAAATAGTTATTTGATATAATATAAATAGATGTTGATGTGATATTTTGTATTTAAAATTAATTTTCAATATAATATTCAAATAAAATATAGATGTTTGATTTGATGTTTTTGGTAAAAAAAATTGGATGAACAAGCTCATTTTCTTTGCAACATGTAATATTGAAGATTATAGTTGTTTTCGGATTGTGTTCCAGCATCACAAAGATCGATTGATCAAATGGTCGACATTCTCAATTTTGTCGATGTGTGTTGGTGTATTTCTCGTGTTGTTAGGTACGCACATGTTTTTTATATTTGATGTCTTAACATTAAAATGTTGTCATCGATTCAAAAACTTTGTCTTAAAACCTCGTCTCGATTGTCTTCAGGGATGCCGTTAAACAAATCCTTGTACACCGTCAGTTACACGATGGTGACTTCAGCATCGGCTGGAATCACTCTTTGTTTGTTCTATATTCTTGTAAGAAGTCTCCTAGTATCGTACTATGATTTTTGTTATCATATTACACATAGTCAAATTGTAGTGAAACCATGAACCTCCTCGAGCACAGGTTGATGTTTATGGTTGGAGATCGACGACGCGCGTGTTCGAGTGGATGGGGAAGCACTCTTTGGGCATATTCATCCTGATAACTTCGAACATCGTTGTCATAGCTGCTCAGGGGTTTTATTTCGGAGCTCCGGAGAACAATATTGTAAGTGAATCATGACTATATATGATTTTGTCTGAATCAGACAACAAGAGCAATTGGACTGACTCGACTAATTTATCGAATGGTATTGCTGCCATGAATGAGCTTAAACAGGTGCACTGGATCAGATCGCGATTCGTGCACGATTAAATATGGACCGGGTGATTTATAGAGAGATGTCGGTTCAGACATGTCGCGAATTAGCGACACATCGAGCGTGCGAGTGTAAGTAAGGCTGGCTTCCTCGTTTATTACAGACTACTAACAGATGCTCTATACAAACTTTTAAAAAAGCTTTCAGCTAATCGATAGTAGATTTTTTAGAAAATATTACATCAACTATATAATTTTTGTACTTTCTTTCAGGAAACGAAGCAACAAAAAGAGGTCTGAGTTGCATTTACAGATTCTTACAACTTAATAGGTATGTTGTATGTATACAAAAGTTCTTAGTTCGTTCTTACATACAATATACGTACAATTGAAAAAAGATTGCTGGTACAGTGTTGATTATTATAACTAAAAAGATGCTTCAATTCAATCGATTAGGGATCCACACACACACACACGTTGCTTAGTGCTGCAACTCGCTAATGGGCCGGCCCACGATCCCCGAGGCCCAATCTTGACTATATATAAATATATATATACACTCAATGACCCAAGCCAATACTAGGCCCATTCATGATTGGGCTCAATCCAACCAATCAATTCTTTTATCACATTACATTTATGAAGGGTGGAGTCTTTTGTTTTTTCAACGTGGAATAAACTCTTCACATTCTTTTTCTTCCTCTTTCGTATTCACACACCAACATGGTTGATAATGTATACATATACAGGTTACACATTGAAATATTAATTGATTGGATAAAATATATATTAGTAATATAATATAAATACAATACGTATCATATATATTTTTTAATACAATATATACACCTTAATACCCAGGGCCGTCCTTGGGCTCGGGCGAATATATACACCTTAATACTCAGGACCGTCCCTGGGCTCGGGCGAACTTATACACCTTAATACTCAGGGCCGTCCTTGGGCTCAGGCGAAAGGGACGACCGTCCAGGGTTCAATCTAAATTGGGGTCTATTATTTATTTATGTTATATATAAATTATTTATATATAAAAATTATTTTACATTAGTGTATTAGTATAAGAGTATGCATTAAAAAGAATTAGACAATTAATATTAATAGTATTATTGATATTTTGCATATAAAAATATTAGGAAATTTATTTTATTTAATTATTTATATTTTATTATAGATTAAAAAATATATATTATTTATACATATTTATAGGTTCCTAATTTTTGTTTTAAGATTGTTAATATTAATACTATTATTGATATTTTATCTAAAAATTAAAAAAAGAAATTATTTTATTTAATAATTTATATTCTATTATAGGTTTAAAAAAATGGAGTAGATCATTTATATATATTTAGGAGTTTTTTATTTTTGTTTTAATTATTTTTTTTACTAAAAAGATAATAAATATTAGACAAAATTATTATTATTAGACAAAATTATCAATACTCCTTTATAATTTCGAAACTCAATGTAAATCCTCTATATACTTTAAAAATGGCATGAACCCCTTATACTTTAAAAAATGTTCCATTAAACTAATTTTTATATTTTTTTTGTGATGAGAAGATCGACTTTTCTTCTATATTTTTTTTTTTGTATAGCAGGGGTTTCATACCAGATTTGTTAAAATATAACGTAATTTTTAAAATTTATGCTAGAAAAAATATTTTTTTAAATTTATATTTTATTATAGGTAAAAAATATTATAGATATATATATATATAAATATTAGGACCCCTAACGTTTAGTTCGTTCCGGCGCTTCGAAAGTCAAGAACGACCCTGTTAAGACCTTATATGCTAACAATTCATAGAATATGTGTTGTTTGATGTATTTTTATGTGCAGTTTAATATATTTTATGTATTAAATACTTCTATTCAACGTGTTAATCAAATAATATATTTTAATGACAAGCTTATGAAGAGCATCAACAAATGAACAGCTAGTTGAAAAATACAATGTTTTAACTAGGGATGGCAATGAGTATATTTAATTAGGGATGACAATTGGTACGGATCGATTCGAGATCCAATTCATTTATTTGAGATCAGATCCAATTATTTGGATATTGGATCCAGATCGTATATTGTGTATTTTTATCAAGTCTGAGCAGATCTTGGGTTTCATGGTGAGCCTTATCCAAACCTGAATCCGATTAATATATTATTAATATATTCAATATATATATAATTAATAATATAATATATTAAAAAATATATTTTTAGTTTAATTTATTTTTTTTATTATTTTATTATAGTAATATTTTTTAGTAAAATGTTAGGTTCAGACCCGAATTCGTGTCCAATTTTAAATTAATTTAAAAATTATAAAAGATTTTTTCGGGACGGTTGAGTATTGTTTAAGTCAGATTCGAATATGATTGATTCCGAATATAATTGAGTCCGATTTAAATTTCGATTCATCCATATATATTTGGATCGGGTGTCGGATCCAACCGATTGGACCCGAACCATTCTCATCTCTAGTTCCCACCCACGTGAATAAAATCATAAAGAATCATAAAATTAAAAAATGATGAAACACTAGAAATATGAAGTATAGAATCACACTACTCTTTGAAATATATTTTACTGTTTGCATACATTGTATGAATATATATAATTTAGGTTTTGATAATAAATATTTAAATTTTATTTTTAGTAGTAGTAATCTATTTATAGTACAAATATTCAATTACTACTAAACTTTTTATTACATATCAAAAACTTTTAAAATAAATCTTATTATATTTTATTTATAAAAGAAAGAGAAAAAAATGATGGGAGTATCAATTGAGGGTATTATCGTCTTTTGAAATATTATTCTTCACTTCAGAAATGAATTTTATTTTGCAATAACGGAGAAATATGAATTAATAAATTTATAATAATAATAATAATAATAATAATAATAATAAGAGTTAAAATTATTTTTGTTCTCATTCAATTAGTCCCCTGGGACCGAACACGGCCGTGTTGGATGACCCAGAAGGTGACTGGGTGTCCAGACAGCCAACACGGCCGCGTTGATTACCCTGTACTTCTGAACAGGGCCATATTCTACCAATTTTCTCAACTAGGCCGCGTTGTTGGTCATGTTCTCAACACAGACATATTATAGGTCACATATTTTCAATATAATCACATTGTACTGTCATATTTATTATTATTTTTAGTTAAAATTATTTGATATATATATTTATAATTCAACAAAATATTTTTTATAATTATTTTATAATATAAAAAATAATTAATTTTTAATATTTTAAAATATATAAAAATAATAATATATTAATATATATATTTTTAGTGTGTGTTTCTTTTTTATGAGTTTAAAAAAATTGATAATTTTTGCTCATTATGATAATTTTTTTACTTTAATAAATTAGTCGACGCAAGTCAGTCCTGTTTAACAATTTACGCTTCCTCAAAAGACTCAGCGGCGCGGCCGTCGGATTCAAGAGACATGATCGTCTGCGTCGCCGTCGTCGGCCATCAGGTGATCCACCGTCTGTATAGCTTTCGTTCCCCATTCTGTAGATTAACAATTTTTATTTTTATTTTTTTGGGTACAATTGCGTGAATATTTGAAAATTGAGACATATTAGCTGATTATTGTTGGATTTTGTGTAATTGGCAGAACAATCCATTGTACGTACAGAGTTTTACTGAAGCGGATGATGCTCTCAAGCTTCATCACATTGTCCATTGCTCGCTAGATGTCGTTGACGAGAGAAGTGAGTTCTTTTTTTTTTTTTTTTTTTTTTTTTTTTCATAAAAATCAGATCAGGTTTGGATTTTTACACTTTTAATTTCAGTGATATATAAATACATTGATATTGTTAATTAGTCAAAGATTATAAGAAGATGAGTTTGTGAAATTAGTGATATGAAATTGCTCCGAGTACATTTGTCATTTGTGTGGTAGTTTAGGACAAATTGCTCGGTTGAAGTGCCTCTGAAACCCTAATTTCGAACGCTCTCAAAATCATTCAATTGGATAACGCTTTTATAACATGAACTTTTCTGAAGTATCTTGAACATTCCTATTCAGTAAGGATTGGTTGCAGTGAATTGGCTTAAAGGTATTTCATATTACTTTATTAAATCTGTAACTTTCGTTTGCCAATACTGTGGATTTCAAATCTTCAAAGTTGATCATGGATTCGAAATTCTCTTTATAATATGTTATCTCAAATACTTCCGGCAGCTAAATAATGAATTTTGATTATGAGGTATTTTAAATTTGAAATCATCTATTTAAAATTCACTCTGAAATCCAAATTCATCGAACTGGGCCTTAACTGTTTTGCATTTGAATTTTGGAAACTGTTGGTTTTGTTATGCTTGATGAATCTACATTATAATGTATATGTATAACTTTAGGGTGTGTTTGTTTGTGTTTTAGAGTGCTAGAGCATTTTTTTTTTCTGGAAATCCTATGAATGAAAAATAGGATTCAAACGGTATGTATTTAATAGAAAATATGTTTTCAGTATGGTATTTTGAATAAAAAGTAGGTGTTGTATGTGATATGTTTAAACGGAAGGATAAGAATTTATTTGAATATACATAAAGCAAATTTGAAAATGTGAAGAAAAAGACCCTTCCATTTCGGAGCATTAAGAAATGGCGACTCGAGCTGAGCAAAAGAAATGTTGCGATGAGCGTTGATAAACAAAAGAAAATATGTTAAGCATGTAGAGATGGTCGATTCATTGAAGAAAGTGTGTTGTAGTTTCACTTTCTATATGATTGTCCCTTTTTTCTATGTTCTGGATCTGTTACTTCCATGGTTGTGTTGCTTTTGCAACTTCCAATTTGCATAGGTTTTTGGGGGGTGGGATTATTGAAAAGGATTTGATCAGTCGCATTTTATTAAGATGTTAACATTAAAAGATTGTGTTAAACGGTCGATTTGCATTCAGCTACCCCATCACTGTGTGCTTGACCAAATCATGGATTTCGAGTGGCTTCTTTTTATTCTTGTACGTCTGTAAAGTTGATGAATTAAAGCTGTCTCTTTAATGTTTTATTCCTGCAGTGAACAACCCGAGAAAAATAGGCTCGGCATTGAATGAGACATTTCTTGGTTTACTATACCCAACCGAAAACTACAAAGTGTAAGTACTAATGTTGAAGCTGTCTCTTTAGCGTTGTGTTGATTATTTCTAATTAACATATGAAAATTAGACAGACAATAAATGGGTTCAATTAACACAGCATGTGCTGATCCAATTGAAATCATGTGCTTACAATTCATACTTCACAGGTGTGCTGTATGAATCTCTCTTTTGTAATGAAATTATGTATTGTGTGAACTATTGTCATGTGTTATTATATTAACACAAATCTTATGTTGTTGATTTATATCTTATGTGTTGTCCAGCACCATTCTTGATGAATTCTTTTTTATATTAACAACCTATATAATATTTGTTTTATATATTTGATCACATCCTAGTAAACCCGCCATTCGTGTTTTATTTCTTGTTGAATATGGGTAATAAGGAATGCGAACTTGCTTCATTTTCCTCAACTCATGCTATAAATAATAATGCCTTCAGGTATGGTTACTTGACCAATACTAAGGTGAAGTTCATCCTCGTGACATCAGATCTTAATGTTCGCGACGCAGATGTGAGAAACGTAAGTATTAAATTACAGAGATTCCTTCAGTTACATACTTTGCAGTAAACCATTTATCCTTGCATTGCAGAGTATCTTAGTAGACATGACTTTTGTGGACATAACTGTACACAGTTAGCGCTCGAGCATCACATAAGCATTAACTCTTAGTTTTTCTAAAACAAATTCGCTTTACTTTATATTTTGGTTTTACAAAATTACATATTCACTTGCTGCTATGGACTTTGGGGCTCCTGAAACACATAAGCCTTATGATTGTTAACCCTCTGCCATTTTGCTTATTCGTCTACTTAGAATTATCATTACACGCAATCGAACGCAATCCGTTTCTTATTACAAGAACTCAAAAAAGAAAAAAAAAGAAAAAATAGATCTGATCTTGCTTTACTAACTTCTAGTTACACTGTTCTACTAATAATCTTAATCTCCATTTAAATAGAAGTTTTGGAGCTTTGGATAATTTTGGGAATCATTAAAAATTGGATATTTGTGTAATGTTTTATGTGAAGAAAATTTATATTTTGAAAAAAAAATATATATATTGATGTCTTTGTTGTGTTTTAGCTTAGTGAGTGATGGAATTGTTGCATCCATTATATATGTTGAGATATTTTAGATATTCGGTTTTAGATTTAGTAGATTTATATTTAGATTTGGTCTTATCCGTATATTAGATTACTTAAATTTGAGCCTATCGACTGTTTATTTTTTTGATGATCAATAACACAATTTTATTATTTTTCCCCAAAATTTCTAACAGTAGTATATATTAAGCATGCATATAGTTAATCTTCTTCCTTTCCTTTCTTTTTAAAAGTTCTTCAGGAAGTTCCATACAGTATACGTTGATGCAGTTTCGAATCCTTTTCACATCCCGGGTAAAAAGATTACATCGAAAGCTTTTGCAGTAGAGGTGAGCTCGCTCGTAAACTCCTTCGGTTCTAGTTCATCTGCCTGAATGAATGAATGGCTGTTAAGTCCCATTTTCTGACTGCCTACTGTTCTATTTCATCGACAAACACTTATTCATTATGGAAAAACTAAGCTTTACTGTTCTCTCTGATTGCTTACACTCTCTCCATCAGCATCAGCAGCATTTTATTCATCAAAGCCTTTCTTTGGCAGCAAAATACAAGTGTCAAATGAATGGGTTAGCTCGGCTTTATCTATAGCTTGACTCGACTCGTTTATATAAAAAAAATGAGTTCAGCTCAAATTTGAAAGTTATCATTTCTATAACTAAGTGAGGCTCGTTAGTAATAATATAAATATATATATAATACGTATGATTTTTTATAACAAATTTTTATTTATTAGTAAAATTTAAATATTTTATTACAATAAATTATGAATAATATTATACTCCTCCCTATGTCCCAAAAGAGTTTATCTTACCATTTTTGTTCTCCCAAAAAAACTTCCTATATTCTTATTTAGGAACTGCTTATTCTATTTTATAACAAAATTTTTCTTTCATTTTTCAAATTGGAGAGAGAATATGTTTAATTTATATATTTTCTTTTTCCGACTCTTTTCAAAAACTCATTTTTGTCCTATTACACAGAAATGGTTTTTTTAGTAAATTTATCAATTTTAAATATACTTAATAAATATAATTAAAATTTAACTAAAATTTTTATAACGTATGATTTACTAAAAATTTCTTTATTTGTACCTTTCTTTTCAAATAACAAATATTTGTTTAATTATCTTTAAAAATTTCTATTTTTTTAAAAAATTAATTTATAATAATGATAAATTTTTATTATATAAAATAAAATATTATTTTTTACAAAATAATATTCATATAATATATACTCCCTCCGTCTCGAAACTAAATATCCATTTGCTTTTTCACGTTATTTTAAAAATATCAGTATTCTATTATGATATAGTAGGAATAAAATAAAAATAACGTTATTAGTACGTGTGAATGTTAGGTAGATAGTATACTTAAAAAAAAAAAGGAAATAGATACTTTGGCATGAGACGTGCTAAAATAAAAAAAATGGATACTTGAAACGGAGAGTATTTTATTATAATGGAATATCAATACACATTTTAAAAAAAATTTTAATCATTACTAATCTCAACTATCTACCAAACAAAAGCTTTATCTTTGTTGAGTATTACTCCATCCGTTTCAATACAATAGTCTTATTTACTATTTTAGTCTAGTTTTATTTTCATAAATAATCATATCACTATAAAATTATCCTTACTTTTTCATTATTATTATACAATTATCACTACTTTTTACACTAACACTCACAACAACAAAAAAGTCTTTTACCCATACTTTTTATCTACTATCAATATAATATCAATATTCTCAAAATCCCGTGCCAAACATAACCCAGACTATAGTTCCAAAACGGAGAGAGTATATACAATGTGTAAAGTTGGAGGGTACAAACTGAGTTGGAGATTTACATCAAGCCTGACAAGCTGAAGACGATTTAAAATCCTAAGCGACATGTTCAAATGGAAAGCTCCAACAGTAGATACTTGAATCAATGCAGACAAAATGTTACTCGGTGCAGCAGATGCCTATTGTCGAGCAAACTTACAAGCACATACATACTGTTAAAGGATATCGACAAACTAGTTTGCAATATATCATTCATAAACAACAACATTCCAGTTTTCGACAATCAGACCTGCTGAAATAAAACAACCTGAGGTTCCACTTTTCAAATCAACCCAACAGGGATCTATCTCAATAGGCTAAATTTGACATTAAGAGTTCTACCTGATTCATAAAGGAGGGAGGGGCACAACATATATCTCTCCTGCCAAATTATATGAAATTCATCATCACCAAACACAAACACTAGAGAATTACCAGTCAGGTAATTCTAGGGGCATTCTTACACAAAATAGGTAAAAAAAAATTTTAAAATAAAAAGGCAGCAGAGGAATGGTTACTGTTTTAACTCTTTTTATCTTTTTATAGCTTACAATTAACCAACCAGACTCCCAGAGTAAACACCGGATACGAACACCCCCACATGCGATCTGCGAATTCTTTGCTACCAAAATTGAACAAGGTGAGAGAAGATTATGGCCACTGAATCACTTTTTTAGCTGCTATCGGGAAATTTAGCCTCGAAATTCTGTAGGGTCTGCAAGAAAAACAACGACGTTTGCACCTGAGTTGTTCGAAATGTTCTCCCAGAAGTTAAAAGAGTCAGATTAGTACCATGAATGTAGCAGTAATCATCTTTCCAGCAAACCATCTTCCATGGAGAGCGCGCTGTGCAGCAATTGCAGATTGTGCGTTTTCAAACCGCAGGTACACGAAGCCAGCTGAGTTCCTGCTTGTAGAAGTAGTTGTTAGTGAAATCCTAGGAACAATTAAAAACTGACATATGGGGTATTCGCATACGTGAAAACAAGGAATTTTTAAATGACAAGTTTGAATAGTTTGTTACGAATTATAGATACACAGACATATCACCAAAATGGAGAAAAAGTGTGGAATTTCAAGCACTGTTCAAGCTGAATGAACATGAATTGGACTTACTTGTCCACATGGATATGTTTTAGCTTTCCAAATTTCGAGCATTCTTCACTGACATCTTCCTTTATATCCAGATCAAAATCTGGCTCGGTCTGCAATTAAAATGTCTCTTTTAATGCAAAGTAACACTTGGATAATAATTTTATTGCATAAACAAGCGAGGGCTACTTACTTCCAAGTTTGGATCAAACATATTCTTCAACAATAAGCATTCACTAGGTGCACCAATCGTATCAGCAGATGGCACAGGAAGAGCCGGCATAGAAAGATCTGCAGATGTCAACCCAGGAAGAACTGGAACAGAAACTGGTGCAGCTGACGAACCAGTCATGCTGCACAAGGTGGGAATAAAAATGAAAACGGAAAAATGAAATAATAGCATGGAAGGAGAAAGAAAGAACAAACAGAAAGTTAAACCTTGAAGCAGCCCCTGTGCGATCCAATTTCTGCATTAGAAGTGCTCGAGATTGTGCATTTAAGGACTGCCAGAAAATGCGAATGAACATCAGCATCTTGAATGAATCCAATTATGAAGCCCATGATCAAGAATGTAAAAAATAGATTCACTGAGAAACACACACACACACACACTAATCATGCCATCCATAGAAAAATTATATCGAACCTGGGAGAAGTGAGCCAAAAGAAACCAGAAACAAGATAGGTGGCAATGTAAATGTTGCTCAGTTAATGTTATATACATTTATCATGGTAAAATAACAAAACAAAAATGCGGCAGCTAAATATATATCTCGTATAAAAGAATGTGCAAAGGACATCCCTAAAACAAGATAGCTTAGCTTTAAAGAAGTGCATGCTAGCTATAGTTTTCTTACCAGACCACTGCCCTCATCATCATCAAAATCAACAGCTTTGGCCCCTGCATCTTGCATTCCAACTTGATCTGTGACAGCAGAGACCTACAAATTGAGGAATTACAAGACAGAGAAAAAAAATGGAGATAAGCAACTCTATCATTAATAAGAATCAGAACTGAATTAGATCAGCATCGCCACTACTTTAATCGTTAGTTCAGAGTATAGGGTTTCAGTATCTCAGCTTTGTGAGGTTGTAAGGAACCCAAACTAGCAATGTTCTGTTTTATTACAAATTTCCCCAATTTCTTGATTATTCAACTTTCCACTCCAGCGAAAATGGAAATCATATTCACATACCAGCCGCACCCTTTGGCTGTCAGCAGAAAAGGAGACTCGTGTGGAATGAATAACATAAATGCATGAGTCGGAGACTCGGAGTTTTCAGGTTCTGAGTTCACAAGTAATATTGGCAGCCTGTAATTTATTATATGTCATCTACATGCCTTTATCTCATGACACACCAGCAGTAGCTAAAACAAATTTATGCATCTCAGACCAAGAAAAGGTTTGTAGAATGGGGCTGTAGTAAGTCTGATTTAATAATAATAATAATAAGTCCAAACAAAAAGTTTCAATACCTTGATCACTCTTCCAGCAATCTCAAGTTGGCCATTTAAATTTTGGGCAGCCTTTGCATCTTCAAGGCGTGAAAACTGCTCAAAAATGAAATGTGAGACGCATGCCAACAATGAGGAACACTGTCCTCATTCAGTGATGAGTGTAATATATAGAAAACTCAAATTCACCTGAACAAAAGCATAACCTTTGCAGTTCCCAGTTCCTGGGTCAACGGGCATCTGCACTAGCTCAACAGTGCCAAAAGATTCAAATACCTAAACAAGATGTGCAATGTGGAATGTGCTTTAGAGGATCAAAACCATCAAGCAAATACCAAGTAAAATAATAAGAATTTAAATTAATTCTGAATGAAGAACGTGATAATAATATAAAACAACTGCCTTTTCTTTATTCTGAATCAAATAATAAATGACATCTAGTAATATATATATATATATACACACACACACACACATCAGGGAGGTCATACCAGGCGAATTTGATCTTCTTTGATGGTAATTGGCAAGTTTCCAACATACAGCTTTCTAGCTTCCCCGGAGCTTTGGCCAACAAGCCCACCTCCATTTGAGACGGCAGTTGTTGACTGAACAAGATTTTTTTCAGCTTCTGATGGTTTAACCATAACTGGCTGACCAAGAAGTGGCTGGCCCGAAAGGGCTATTGCCATGGGAACAGACATCACATCATAGAATTCAATGTATCTGTGGAAACATAGTATAATCACATCATTAGCAACAGTTGATAATATATATATATATGCCAATATGTGGTGTAATTCATAGGACAAAATGCAGAAGTATATAAATTTGATTAAAGTAAATAATTACATTATGACCAAAAAAAAAAAAAGGAAAAGGAAAATATTTATATATTGTTTGTAGAGGTACAATCAATAAATTAAAGCGAGGGCCACTTGGGTTTTACCCAGCAAAAGATAATTTTTCTATGGCAAATGTTCCCCTTTCATACTGCCCCATCCCAACCCAAGAATTTGAAATTTACAAATAAAGAACCAGTTGCATGTTGCCTGAGTATATGCTTTTCGATGATAAAATTCTACAAAATGAAATAGTATCACAAGAGTAAACAAAATTGCATATCAACATATAAACCAGGAATGGGGGATACGCATAATGAAATGATCAAATCTGAAAAGTTTACCCAACTCCTCTGGAACGCCTGGTGTTTCGATCCATTATGAGTTGTACATCTCTGACCTGAAATCAACAACAGAACATCATCAACCTCCAGCACAATTTTGGGGGTATTTAGAACCAGAATCCTTTATGGCTTATTATATTATGTAGATAGAAATTGTGCAAAATGAATAAATTCTGGTTTGCTAGTGTCTAGAAAATTAAAGGGAAGAAAGAGAGAAATATATATATATATATATACATATATATATGTATATGAGTAATTCCAAAGAATAGCAAGATCATTCAAGATCTATTTAAGGTGTGTTTGTTTGGGGGTTTGGATTTTGAGTTGGGATTTGAATAGTAAAAATTTTGAATTTGAATAGTTGTATGATGTGATATAAATAGGGTTTGATGTGATGTTTTGAATGTAAAATTGATTTTTAGTATAATATAAAAAATGAAAAATAGGTGTTTGATTTGATGTTTTTGGGGAAAAAAAATTGGATGAATAGTGGAAATCCACCAAAATCCTTCAAACAAACACACCCTTAATATCTAAGCTAAGGATTTTGAATCTTATGCGGGCTGGAATATTTGGAAAAGATATGGGTCCAAAGTAAAATAGTAATAACAAGTATATAAATAGAAGTGAATAAAAAATCCAATCAAGGCTCACTCATCACAGAAATCAACTCAAGACCTCATCAAATATTGAGAAACAATTCAACTCATTGACAGAAACTCCACTTGTAATTTGTAAATCAAACTAACTAATGGGAATATGTGGAACAACCTTTCCAGCCCTAGAGAAGAATTCGTAGACATCTCTTTCGCCCGCTTTCAAGGAAATCTAGACAAATCGTAAAGCAGAAATGTCAGAGGACCTCTAAATGAAAGAAAATCAATAGAACAATATACTTTCAATTTTAATTCAAATACCTGATATGCAAAAACTGTCCTTTGATCTCGTTCGGGATCAGCTTCCGGCTGCACTGCTTCTTCTTTTTTCTCTCTGTGTTTTCTGCAACAGAGATTGGGAAAACATATAAAAGCTAAACATATTACTTAAACACAACATAATATAAACCATCCTTGCTAATTAAGACATGATCAGCACCATCGACCATCTGTTCTGAAATAAAGTTAATCAAGTATGTGGAAAGTTCCACATACATTAAAGACAATAGCTCCACAAAGAAGCAAAAATTTCTCCAGTATGCATAAAAGAGCCAAACCCAAGATCACAACCCTGCAGGCAACTGCATGGGGTCAATATGGAGCACTTACTAACATCTGATCAAACCAATAAACATCTTATTTAAGTAAAGACACCAACCTGGGTTAACAATGGCAATTCAAAGAAACGTGAAGACTGAAAAAGTTCAGGTAATGAACTAACAAGAGTCTTTGTCTCTCTAGGCATACCTAATTTTACATTTTGCATCACCATATTAAAGAGTTTTCTCATCACAAACAGAAAGCATATAATGGCTACCAGATGCCACGGGAATCAAATAATGTAAATAAATACACTGATTCAAAGCAGCAGTTAAAAAAGACATGCGTTCACAGAATCAAGAAGCACACTCATCATCACAGAACAAAATATAACGGGACTCCTGGATATAAAACACACAACTTGTCAGCAGCATAGAGGCTACAACTAGTACACCTTACACAAACTTTGTTGATAAGTTAAAGATTATATTGTTGATATTGTTAGTTATAATTATGTATTGTATGAGATGATGGGATCCTATTCATATGATTCAGATATCATGAATGAAAAGAGATAAACAATGCAAACGGATTGATTAAAGATTGGCAAGCAATTCGAAAAACAACTTGAATGCAAAGTGGAGATTTCGCATAGCAGAAGTTGAATGCAAGGGCAGTCTTTCATGCTTTTGCATTTTGTTCCTATCAGCTCTAGACAATAACAAACGTACCAGGTCTATCTACGTATAATATAGGCAAAGGGAAAAAAAATGAATACAGTGCAGAAGACAAATAAACTACAGGAATGGTACAGAAAACAAAACCAACATGAAATAACTGAAAATTGTCCTCAATCACATGCTAGTAAAAAGAACCATGAAAAGCAGCAAAAGTCTATTTCTTAACAGGCACAACAGAGACACCCTAACTTTGAAAGCTACTTGCATAATAGACCCTTGTTCGTGAATGCAGAAATTTTCTTCACTCGCGCTACTGGACAATAGAACTTCATTTTTAAAACCTCTTCTATCTAACATAAAAATAAAGCTACTTGCATAATAGACCATTATAATTTTCTGTGAAGTATAGTTGAGATTTTTCCAGTAAGCCTACAAATTATACACCTAATTTGTGAATATGGAAATTATCTTAGATCAACCTTTCTCGGCACATTCAAAATGTGTAGTCTCATATATAGATATATAAGATGATAGAACTCTTTCTCAGCATTAAATAAGTGAATCTGCCAACAAAGAGAAAGTTGAATACTAAAAACAGATCAATTCACCTGTTTTCTTGATCTTGATCTCTGAACTCCTTATCCCTGTGCCTTTCTTTATGATCTTTATCTGGAACCTCTACGTCCCGACTTCTTTCTCTTGGCCGTCCATTCGTACTCCTTTCCAACTGATGTCTGCTGCGCTTGGATCTCTCTCTCTCATCTTCCTTGTCCCTCTCTCTTCCATGCTCACGCTCTCTCCTTTCTCTGTTACCATCCCTTCTTTTGTCACTACCCCTCTCCCTGTCTCTATCACGTCCTCTATCCCTGCTTCGTTCGTTTCCACTGCCCTCTTCCTTCTCCCTGTTTCTGTGCTCTCGGCTACTCACACGTCTGTCTTTATCACCTTTATCCTTTTCTCTATATCGAGAGCTCCTATCTTTCTCACGGTCATCAGACTCATTTCTTGACCGCTTTGAGATCCCATTCAAATCATCGCCATCCTCATCACTGCTGTACCTTGAGCTCTTGCGCCTCTTCTCTCCACCATGCTCAACTGCTCCACCATCACCCCCATTTGTATTAGTCCCCGACTTCTTAAGCTCCGGATTTTCCACTGTGCTTTCAAGATACTCAATCTCATCAAAATCCATTTCCCAAAATCTTCCAACCCCAAAACCTACAAATAGCTGCAGCGACAAAAGTTTCCAATTAGAAACAAAAGATGTCACTCCAATGAACCACCAACCCTTCACTCCCCAAATAAACCTAATCCTCGTCAAAATCTCGACAGTACCGCTTGTTGACGAACCAAAATTAACGACTGTATAATATCCCGCAGGACGAATTGCAGAACAAAATTTGAAATTAGGGTTTCACATTGAGGAAAGAAATCGAACATACCAGAATGAATTTGACAGGGCAGTGGCGCGTCTGCAGCGTTCGAGCAGCGAGCGTCGTCAGGTCAGGAGCGCTTTGAGTCTTTCAGCGTTCAACTTAGCTATAAATGCAATTTCGCCATTAAAACCACGCTTTTAATTTTAAGGTTTTTTAACAATTAAACACGCTTTTAACTTTAAAAAAAAAAATGTGTGTTTTATCAAAACGCGACACTAGTAAGTCGGAGGCCCAAACTTAATGGGCTCATAAGCCCATTGTATGTGTCTTAAATGTACTTTCTCTATTAAGCCCTATTTACTACACAAGTTTTCTCTTTCTCTCTCATTTATGAACGGTGGCATAAATTATTTTTCAAAAAATAAATATTTAATGCAGTATAATACTTTATCCGCCTCATTTTAATTGATTTTTTTGTTACAATCTTCGTCCCGTAACAAGGTATCCATTTACCTTTTGCATCATTGTACTTAACGTTAAAAATATCTTTATATTTGTATAATTTTTTTTTTACAAATGTCATTATATTAGTATTATAAGACACTAATAGAAATATTTTTGCAATTTTTCATTGATTTGTAATACGTTTTGATATAATAATTAATATCTAAAAATCAATAAACAAAAAGTAAATGGATACCTAGTTATGGAACATAGGGAGTATTATTATCTTTTTATTACCGTAGATACAAAAATTTAAAAAAGTTATAATTAATAAATAATTAAAAATATATTAGTGAAAATAATTATAAATATAATAAAAATAATTTTAGCAAATTAAAATTAAAAAATTTTAAAAATTAAAATAAAATTAAAGTGTATAATTTTTTTTTCCAAAACAAAAATGACATAATAAATGGCCATACGAAAAATAAAAAGATGGACACAATGACTAGAAATGGAGGGAGCACTTTTTTTTTTTTTCATTTTTGTACCAATTACCACTTTTCTATTTTAGATTAAATTTACTTAATCAAAACATATTTAACAAATATAAATCAATATAATTATTTCTTAATTTTTATATCTATATTCAAAAAATAATTATTTTTTTATATTTAAAATTTTAACTTTTTTTTATAAAATTAGTTTATATTAATTATAAATAAATAAACATATTTTTTTTTTTATTTTAATTAAAAAAATTATTCACTATTGAATAATATCCATACTATATATAATTCAATGTTATATAATTTTTAAAGTATTTAAATACGTATTTTATATTTTTTTCTATTAAATTTATTTTGAAACTATCGATATTATTAATTATATAAATAATAAAATAATATCATAAACATCATTATCTTAAATATCGTATCACTAATAATTACTATATGTTATTAACATTATATATATTATTTATATTATATTGATGTGTTTTTATATTTTTTATTCTTTTTATTAATATTCATCGAAAATTATATCAATAATAATTTGTAACTTGAATAAACCTGTATTCATTTAGGGTGTGTTTGTTTGGGGATTGGATTGGATTTACACTGTTCATCCAAATTTCCTTTCCCAAAAAAAAAAATCAAATCAAATATCTATTTTTAATTTTTTTTTATATTATACTAAAAATCAATTTTACATTCAAAAGATCAAATCAACACCTATTTATATCACATCATACAACTATTCAAATTCTAAATTTTTATTATTCAAATCCCAATTTAAAATCTAAAGCCCCGAACAAACACACATGCAAACACACATTACATACACCTATAATTTTAGAAATATGTTATTTTAAGTAAATATAATATTAAAAAAACATAAAAATATATTTGTTCTCTTTTTTATATTAGCTTAAGTGTGAATAATTATATTTATAATATAAAAAAAATATTTTATTTTAAAAGATTGACATTTTAACTGGTAAGTAAATAAAAACATATATTATATTAAAATATATATATGGTATTTTTTAATAATATTTATAAAAAAATATTAAATGAACAAACTCATATATTTGTTTGTATTTTATTTGAATAATAATTTAATTTAATATATTGTGGATAAAAAATAATAGTAATATATTTTTACTGTATATTTATTATGATGTTTAAAATTATTTTATTTTTATTTTTTTATAAATAATTGGTAATGAAAACACTTATATAAGGACAAACTAGACACCCTAAAAAAAACATAAATTGAATGCTCATCTTGCAAGGAGTCGACGGTGCTTACAAAAGCGATGACGACCATACAAGGAATTACATTTTATTATTTTTATTATTTTAATTTTTATACATTAAAAGGTTTATTCATTTAATATTTATTTTAAAATATATTTTGTCCGGGTTACATTTTTTTTTTCTTTTTTGTCAAAAGATGGCCTTTTTTATTTTTCGTAAAATCTTAAACACATTTAACATATATATATATATCAATTTCAATTTAATTAAAGTTATAACATCTTATACATAGAATTATTCAAAATCCTTTTTATTTTATCTCTATTTAATTAACAAATATTTTTATTTATTTTTAATTTTTTTTATAAAATTAATTTATAGTAATGATAAATAAATATTTATTTATTTATTTATTTTTATTATATAAAATTTTATACTTTACAAAATGATATTCATATTTAATACTCCTATATTTTATTTAGATATAATGTTAAAAATATTTAGAATATCAACATTACTTATATAAAAAAATAAAAAAATAATATCATAATTTATCATTAATAACTTATGGTGTATTTCTTCAACCCCAAATTTGGGGTTATCCACGGTTTGGTAGACAAGTTTCTGCTTTTGTAAAAAAAAATATTAAAATATAATTTAATATTTATTATAATTATAAGGAAAAAATATATACTATATATATATATGTCATTTTGTAAAGAATAAATTTTTGTATAATACAAATAAACAAAAATTTTAAATATATATATTTGGTATAATATAAATTCATAATCAAATTATAAAATATAAATTTTATCAATTAAATTTAATACAAATTTATATTATTTTATTTATTATCCATCAAATCAATACACATTAAAACTCCTCAAACCCAAACCAAATTCAAACACAAAAAAAACAACAAAATTCAAACTCATCTCAAAATTTAAATAAATATCAAACTCAAACTCAAATTTCTCCGAACCTTCCTAAAGAAACACACCCTTATTAATCTATACTATATACATTCTCGTGTCCATTCAAAAGGGTTCATCATTGTCGGGACGGAGGGATTAATATACATATATTAACACATTATACTTCATCCGTCCGCTTCTAAGAGTCACATTTACTTTTTGTGTCATTGTACTTAACATTAAAAATATCATTATATTTGTATAATTTTTTTTACAAATGTCATTCTATTAGTATTATAAGATACTAAGGAAAGTATTTTTGTAATTTTTTTTTTTTAATTTGTACTATGTTTTGATATGATAATTAATATTTAAAAATCAACCCACAAAAAGCAAATGAGACCCTTAGAGCCACAAATTTCACATCAAATATGGTGCCACAAACTCAATGGGTCATTCAATGGGGACGGATGGACTACTATATACCACATTAATTTCAATAATATTTTTTTTATTATTATTTTCATTTTATACAAACTTACTTTATAATATAATTAATATATGAAATTCAACAATAAAAAGTAAAATTTGAAAATATATTTCGAATTTGAATAGAAAAACGTCTGAGATCACAATACGTAACAAAACTGAAAATTGAATAAAGATAACTGAACATTTAAAATGATAATCCCCAATGAGATTTTTTTTTAAATCGCTTATTATTGAAGATGTACCACACTATCCCGTTGGAGTCTTTGATATACACACCCATCCGAGCACCGAACTGCCTTGAACTGCCCTTAATCGGTTACTGAAATCGTGCATTGGACCGTTGTTGATTACAATATTTGTTTCCCACATTTCAACGTATTCAGTTGTGACTGTTGATGACCAATCTGAAAAATCCGGTCGGTTCCTTCACAAATCACAACCAACCGACCAATAAATTCTCAGTCGGATAAGCTTTAAGGCAATTATCCGACCAACTAGTCCGTCAAACAACTGTTTAGTCTGAATACTCCACTGGACCCCCATCGTTCGGCTACAGAACCCTGTCGGGCCCACCACTTAGCCTATCCCTCATCTCCATTTTTGGTTGAAATCCTAATTTTGAATTTTATGTACTCAACAACTTGTCCCCTTACCTAGCTTTCAATCGTCACACCTCGATCGCCGCAAGATATGACGGTTGGAAGTCTAAAATATCACTATCAAAGGTAACAATGTAATCATTAAGCCGTTTTAAGTCAAATTATGGGGTTTATTAAGATACTCTTTGCAAAGTAAGTTATCTCTTCTTCTCCTTCACTCGCAAAATACTCCCTATGCTCGACTCCTTTGTCTTCCTCACTGCAACATTCTCTTTCGATCCTTCTCATTACTTTCATGGCCAACCAGTACGTTCCTGCCCTACCTTTCGATGGCTCCAACCCAGAAACATCCTTTGTTTCTTTAAAGGTTCTAACCCTCACCATCCGCCCTTACTGCACCACGGCAGAATATGCTCCCGGATGCGGGAAATCTTCTAGTTCTCCACCGACTGATGGAACGGATTACAGAACTTCAAGCCAACCTTCCATTGATCCGAGCTCCATTTGCAGGGCCGTCCCAGTCTCCATCTGAAGCTGATCCGAGCATGATTGAGGCCTTTTTATCAAAGACAAACGAGGAGCTCAGACAAGCCAACGCGAGATTCGAAAGCCTTCCCCAAGCCCAAATATTCTTAGACAAAAATATCAACATGAGGCAAAGAGAATTGGAGCACCTCCAAAATGAATTGGAGAAACTCAAGAGGGAACAGACCGCCTTGAATACCTGCATCGAAGAAGAAAGACGTTGGATCAATGGATACAGGCAGAGCCAAACCGACCTAACACGAGAACTGTAGGCATCCATCCATTCGCGACTAGTGCACAAACATCAAATAGCCTTTCAAAACAGTTGGGCGGCCCAAGCCGAACAAAAATGGACCGATATCCGGGCCTCCCTTGATGTCTTTTTGTAAAATACCTTTTTGTGAAATAAAATTACTTTGATAAAGTCTTGTAATCTT